GTGTTTTCAACATGGATGACAGCCCGTCCTGGAGAAGAATAAAAAATTACACGGTGGGATGGATACTGAGCGAGTCAGGAATCAAATACTACATGAAAATTCATGTACAAAAATCCAGGAGATCATGAATCGGATCAGTCCAGAATAAAAGCACCCTAAAACAGTGTGTAGAAAGCCTTCGAGGATTGGGCTGATCATCCAGGGAAACAGACACGCACATGGGACAAGTAACTGCACGCGACGCCGGGTGCAGAACTAGTCTCTTATAAACAGACGCTACAACATTTCTCACTCGTACCTCGCGTATTGTGCTGCGGAACCCAGGTCCGATCAGATCAATTTCTTAGGCTCATGTTTGCACCCGTAGAGCTTGAAGCCCGTAGATACAGTCAAGCATTCCATTCTTCGTTCTCCTCGCGCCCACCGACGCAGTTTCGCCGCTTCTCGCCGTTCCCCAGCACCACCGCCACCCGCTCTGAACCAGACAGTGATCCTGTGGATCACGGGTTTCCACCGTTCAACCAGCACGGCACACCGCCGCAGTTAAACCCGTCCTCCACGAGCCAGATTGAGTACTGTGAAGCGGCATTGGATGCAAGCTGCTCCCAATCCGACGTGTAATTTGCGGACTATATCGGACTCATACGTAAGTCTCACTCATCGGAAGATTCAAGGGGTACCCTACCGGAGCGGCGAAAGCCAATGAGCTCAAAAATCCAGTGTTCTGCAGTGACAGTATCCCAACCCAGTGACAGTACATGGTGGAGAGAAGGTGATTATTGTTCACGCCCTCGAAAAATGCTTGTCCTGCTTGTAGGCTATCGAGGTTGCCGAGGATGTCTTGTTGGATGGATGGGAGATAGACTGTGTTGAGGGTGGCCGCGTCAGATTGGCTGAGGGATGCCCCCAATGGAGTGGTTAGAACTGCCTTGCAGGAGGTGAGAAACCACTCGTGTACGTGTCAGCCAACTATGGTGCTCACTGCCAGCTGGATAGTTGCCGCATCAAAAGCATCGCTGCAGCTCTTGATATGTTCGGCAATCCCCTGTCACACGCGTCAACGCTGGGTGTTACAGGGCGCTTGGAATTTACCTCCAACGCCGTGACATTCGGAGGGAAGGGCCCATTATAGCGATCGGTGGCGAAAACATTGGCCGCATTTCGAAGGTCAATCATGGCAGCGGTGAAGCTGGAGCCGGGTGCGAGAGCATTGATGGCGGATACCCCATAAAATGATCCGAGCTGGACAGCTACGAGCACAGCGGTACAAACAAATTTAAGCATAACTGCCTTCGCCTAGTGAAGTTGGGGGGGGAAGTCAGATGCTGGAATTGGGGCCACAGCACGCTTTATAAAGAGGCAAGTGTTTCGTCGAGCGAGATTCTAGATGCCTGAATGTCGGACCTGAAAGCGATGACGCCTGAACGACAGCTGTCCGTCCATCTTCCGATATTGTGGCGTTGCGGTCTGAAAGTGCGTGCCTGGACTTGAACATCTTGAACCCGGATCCCCTGGCTAGAAATAAACTTCCGCAAATGAGTCGCATGTATGATGTGTTGCCCGATAAGTTTAAAGAGTTTGGCCGAAGATAAATGATAGCCATCTTGGACCTACTTATCATTCGACGCCGTGCGAGTACTTCGAAATTCGAACGTCTCTGGCAGAGTCAGATCCGGAACCATCGCGAGCTGCACAATTGACAGGAGTCTTAAACCCGCTCAACATTTAATCAACACCGCACAAAACCTCAGGCTGTCGAGCTTCTGGTCTTGGGGTTAGCTGTATATGCGGATATTAACGCGCCGCCTGTAGTGGGAATCTAAAGCGAGACTGCCTCACTGCGAGTACATGCGCGCGAGGTCGGTTGAATAGACTCACATGAACTGGAAACCGTATGAGGAAGCAAGCGTTTCGTCGAGTAGATTCTAGATGTTGAATGTTGGAATTAAAAGCGATGACGCCTGGACGGCAGCTGTCCTTCCATGTTCCGATACTGTGGTGTTGCGGTCTGAAAGTGCGTGCCTGGAGTTGAAAATTTTGAACCCGGATCCCCTGGCTAGAAATAAACTTCCACAAATGAGTCACATGTACGATATGTCGCCTGATAACTTTCGCCCCTGATAAATGATAGCCATCTTGGACCTATGATTGGACGCTAGGCGAGTACGAAAGCTGCACAATTGACAGTCTTAAAACCAATCAACACTTCAATACCGCACAAAACATCATCAGGCTGTCTAGCTTCGGGTCTTCGATATAATTAATGCGCCGCCCGTAGTTGTGATGAGCAGCGCTCATTTGGCGCTCATCGTTAAGCGCCGGATCTGCCAAATCGAGTCGATCAACCCCGATATTTTCCGGTAGAAATAGAATCACACGCGTCGACATTTTCTCGCGACACGCTCATTTCACGCGTTTCTGGCTGCTTTCAACTTCACACACGCATTTCCGGCGCTGATATTGCATGTCCGACCTATTGTGTGCTCAGACCAAGTCCCCGGCCATGCAGTGAATTCTTCATTTCTCCAATTGGGCTTATTGTTTCATTTGTTACCGCCGATGGGATTTCTCCGACGCAGTACGTACAGCCTCGAGGGGTTTTATTTCCATTTTATTGTTTTGCCTCTACTATATACTGCACATGTACTTACGACATTCCTCGCGTCCTGATTTTCCTTCCGTGCGCCTGCTGAGCGCGTCATGCGCGCACTCTGTGCACACGCCTCTTCCCTCCACACGGCCGGTGCCCTTGATCCATTACATTGCACTCGACGCCAGCATGCATCTATGCCACCGTCTTTCTCCCCGGAACCGAAACAGTGTTTGTGTCGCCGCTCTACACCCCTCGAGCCACACAACGTCGCCGCTGTCGCAGTAGCGAGTTCTCGTCTGGTGGACAGAATGTTGGGTCAGTCGGCCGGGATATGGGGTCCAAGGGAAGAGTAGAAAGTCGGTAGTAGGTCCCAGGAAAGTCGCGGAAGTGTAGGATAAAAATAGAGTGAGGATGGGGGTATTTGCCGTGTGGGCGCGGAGTACGAGTGGGGCGCGTATAGGCTCGATGGGGGGTGATATCGTAGGGCTCGGATGGAAGGTGTTCCCTGGCGACGTAGTCACGGTGGACTACTCACTTCACTGGTCGCGTCGATTGTGGTGGTTTGAGTGTAAGAGAGTTATTATTAACCATGTGTACCTACGGAATAAATACGCGGTCCGAAGACCGATGTACCGTAAGCTACGCAAGGAGATACTGAAGAAGGGGAAAGCGACCAGCGGTCCATCTTACCCTTCCACACCGCCGCCGCGTGGCCCAAGGAGCAGCGCGCTTCTCCGCCCTACGTGGGTCTATTTATCCCCTTGTTGCCTGTGTTTGTTAGCCGACACTGAAATCGTGCGGCCGCGCCTCCGTCTACTCCGAGTCCTACGCCTCTATCTACGCCCGCAGGCGACGGACACGCATATCCGCGGCGCTTGCCATCTGCCCTCGCAGTCGACAGCAGGCCGGGATCCGTTGAACGCACGGAGGCTAATCTACATGCGCATGTCGCCCCCGCCCGCTGGAGGCACATCCGCTGCTTGCGAAAAGGCAGAGATGGAGTATGCGCTGTCGCCTCCGGCCCTGCTCTACGCGGCTGTCCTGCTCGTCTACCAAGATTGCGTGTGGACCGCATGCGTCTCGCGTGGGCTTGCTTTTCTCCCTCCTCCTTTCGTACCCTTCCATCCACATCTTCTCCACTTGTGCGTATGTATCCATACGTACCGCAATATATTTCATGTTCATCTTGTATGTAATGAGTGTGTAGAAATTGTTTGCAATATGAGTAGATGTAATGCATGACCCTCAAGACCGTGGTTTTGAAAGCAAGAAGTGAACTCGGCTGAAATAGAGCACACGAAGACGGGAGTAGTATCAAAGGATCCGGTGTCAAAAAAAATGGAGAATCCGGTTTTGAATGGCTTGATCCTGAGTCGAACGGGTACTCTGTAATTTATTCATTGAGATTTATCTAATTGGGGTAGGTGTGATCTACCGTGCTGAATTCAACGAGGATTTCAAAGGAGGACATGAGTTTGAGTTTATTATGTCTGGGTAAAATCAAAGACATACACGGGCGGAATACCGCGGGAATGCAGCTCGAGCGGGTTGGTGTGGGAACTGAGGTTGCGCAAGGAACGAGAGAAAAAAAAACAATGGTCGCCAACAGTGTGGATGGCTCGACCCCGAGTCGAACGGGCGTGCCTGCGATTATTTGCCTTTACCGCCGTGTATGTTGACGCAGGTGCGGTCCCACCGCCATCGAGCCGACATTCCCCCATATTGGTTCCTGGATAATACAGGGGAGAGGAGTGAGCTTACTCATCTGTTGGCAGACCGGCAGACCTAGGAATGGAATTGCCGCGCAAAAAAAAAATGGTCAAGAGCACAACATGACTCGGGCCTGATTCGAACAGGCACCTTCTGCTCAATTTTCTCCTAATGCGCCAGAAAGCACAGATGCGGACCATCCGCCACCGAGTCGGTTCTTGACTGGAACACAGGGGAGATGAGTGAGCTTATTTTATATTTCTGCAGCGCGCGTAGTAATTCCCTCTCCAAAAAAGAAAACTACATGGCCCTGAATAACTCGAGCCCGAATGTAACAGGCACTTTCTGCTCAAGTAATTGCTGATGGCCCCCAACGAGCGCAAACGCGGAGCCCGCCACCGAGTCGACTATTAGCTTGCATAGAATATTTATGAGTGAGCTTATTTATATTTCTGCAACGCGGGTAGTAAACCCCCTCCAAAAAAGAATTCCACCATCACTGAATGACTCGAGCCCGATTCGAACAGACACCTTCTGCTCAGTTAGTTCTTGCTTCAGTTAAAAGAGGGCAGATGCGGATCATCCGCCACCGAGTCGTTATTGGCTTATGCGCCAGGAAGATGAGTGGACTTCTTTATATTTCTGCCAAGCCGGTGGTAAAATGCTCCCTGCAAAAAGAAAAGTCATCAAGGAGCCATGACTCGAGCCTGATTCGAACAGGCATCCTCTGCTCGGATACCTCATAATTCCGTAAGGAGGGCAGACGCGGACCATCCGCCACCGAGTCGGTGTCGGGTGCTAACAGAACCGGTGTGTGAGCTTGAGTATTGTGCAATTTGAACAGAGTTATTCGGGAAATATCGAGCGGACAAAATAGAAAACATTCACCGATAGTAATCGCAAATGACTCCGAGGTCCGGTTGTGCCCTAAAGCTTTGCTATGAATACCGGAGGATGTACGTGGAATAAACAGACAAGCAAGACAATGTGCGCAACGGTGAGATGCACTACACGGGTGGAATAAGGCGTGAATCCAGTCGGGGTTTGCTGTCAGAACTGAATACAAAAAGTGCAGATCAAAAAAAAAAAAGATTATTTGAAACATTGGAATCGCTCGATCCCGAATCGAACGGGTGAGCTGCATTTATATTCCGCTCCTACCTCAATAAAGCAGGCGCGGTCCCACCGCCATCAAGCCGATACTAGCATGCTTTGGATCCTATGTAAATGGGTGAACATCGTGGCTCGACATGTTGCGTCCCATCTAAGAAATATGGTTGCCTCGTATGCTTCATGGAAGTAGAAACTTGCACCTGCGCGGAATGTAAATGAGAAATTAGCGTATTTGGGACAGTCGGAGTCAGAGTCGTCAGTGGGAGTCGAGCCGGGAGCAAGTCCGGAGTCCTGTAGTGAGAATGGATGCGGCTAAATGCGCAGAAAATGGCCTGGCCGGCAGAAACGAAGGCTAGAGTCCAGAATTATATTTCAGTGAAGAATGGATCTGCTCTTGCGACTACAGTGAGCGTCAGAGCCAGCACAGAAAAAACCACATGGTGGTAAGAATCCCGGTCACTTGCCCGCCATTTTTGCGCTGCATCCAGCGCGTGTCGCAGCCATTCCTTACTGCGCAAGTCCGCCCTGATGCTGTTCCCACACACCTCCTGCCCTGCGGCACGCCCCATCCACACGTTCTCGCGGCGACATGCCTTGCGTCCACGCGCTCGGACCAAGTCGGACCCATCCGCTCGGTGGACACGAGAATTACAGCACGCTCCACTCGCATTGGTTCAAGTCGTACCGTTTTCATCTTCTACTGCTGCTGTTATCACTCGGCCCAATCGCGGTCTTAAATTCGCAGTTCCGACAACGCCGAGGTCGACGCAGCGCACCCTCCACGTCGCGGCCATCGTGCCCATCTGCGCGCGCGTTCTTGGGACGCTAATGTTGCTCAACGAGCCATGTGCTGTTGATACCGCCGATTCCCGCCGACAGAGCGAGGATGCATCTGCGTTGTTTCTCTCCCCGGTGCGTGCGCTTATTGATTCACACATATGCGCTCTTGACGTAAGCCTTCAGTACTAGCATTCGCGCCGCCGACACTACGATCCCACTTATCTTCCCCCAACGCGCACGCCGACACCTTACGCGCACGCCAATTGCGCCGCATCCGTCTTGCTCTCCCCGGCCCGACGCCGTGTCTTAAAGCGCCTTCGGCCTCCCTTGCGTTGAAGGACCCAGCGCGGGGATGCAACTGCGTGCTTCTTTCTCTCCCCGGAATCGACATCGCATCTGCGCCGCCGGTGTTATCCCTCGCCTCCGTCCATGCTTATCATCAGAGGACGCTGAATTGCGACCCGGCGCGTTTCGGACATTTCACGGGCATGGATGTGCGTGTTTTGGATTCCCTTCCACGAACCGCGGCATCATGCGCTCCACGCGCCTCCATCTCTGTCCGCGTTATTACACCTTCGACACAGGCACAACCGAAACCGTGTCCGCGTCGCGGTCTCCGTGTATGTATTTGCGCGTGCGTGTTCCTCTCCTGGTGCACTTGCGTATTTCTCCCGTGTGTGTCTTTCCCTCGTCGCGGTCCCTTGCCTCTCTGCGCGCTGATCCATCATCTCCATGCTTACCACCATGTTGCGCGTAGCTACCTATACACAGTGGTAGCATATTTTTGCATTTATCTCATAAGAAAGCTGCGCGCACGTGCGTATTGATGTATCCCTTGCGTTCGATTGTTAATCAAAATAGCGTCGGCGACACGCCTAATCATCTTTACCACTTACCACCCTGTCATGCGTACGTACTTATACACACCTTAAATATATTTCATCCATATATATATTGTCTGGAACGATTGTCGGACGCTGAGGTGTACGAGGGTCATTCGTACATCTGGTAAGTACGACATAACGATCAGACAGTAGACGGAAATCCGGGATATCATCCGCTTGCTATTTGGGTGAGGTTATTATGATGAACACACGCACACGGAAGAGACACAAGACACAAATTGATTCAAGGAGTACGTTGGGACCATATATGAAAAAAGAATTTGGAATGAATAGAAATGGCTCGCCCCCGAGTCGAACGGGCAACCCGCATATGGGAATGGAGTGGCTACGTCAATTCAAGCAGGCGCGGTCCCCCCGCCAACGAGCCGATAATTCCTAGTATTGGTTCTAGTATATACAGCTATATTCGAAGAGCTGGATGGTCAGTTTCCTGTGCATGGGCAAAATTTTACAGGCAGACGTTAGAGATGAGGGAGAGTCCAGACCAGAGCTCAACAAGCGAGGCACGAGGTTATTTGTTGACGCATTCGTCTACGAGGGACTAGACCAGAGCGATCGATCTTCGAGTGGAACGTGCCGGAAGGGGAAGTTGTATCACTGCGGTGGTCTCAATAAGGAACAAGCAGGTACTGTACCTACGTACAATAGTGTCCAAATGTACGCTACAGTCGTCAACCGCCCAGTCGCTGTGAAAACCTATCTACTGGAAGTAGACAGCTGTCTCACGAAGAGGCTTAGAGCCTGTACGGCAAAATATTCACGCAGAATCTCGGTCCTCAATCCTGTGGTAGGCCCAAATTTTCAGCATGTTAATTCAAGCAATGGTAACACTAATGGTATCAAGTGGCTTGGGAATGCAATTTACCCTTGAGAAAGAGAGCTACGGGTCATTCAAAGTCCCAAGATTTTGAATTATTTCCTTATAAGGCAATAAAATCTGGCCAGATTCTGTTGCCGTACAGGCTCTTAGAATACAGGGTAGTTGTACAATCCCGGGATCCTAAAAGCTACAGGGAAATATCGAGGAGTTTCCTGAAATAAGCACAAGACGAGATAGATGCACTTCGCAAAGACCTGTATCGCCTTCCTCGATGAGATGAGCTTTTTTTTTAAAACATGAAGTCGTAGTTTGACATCTCCATGTGCGACGCGTGCATCATCGGATCACAGTGAGCCAATTGTTGCGTAGAGTGCGAGCGCAGCTCTACCAATCGAGGTTCGGCATCACAATCAAAAAGGGCATGTATCTCGTCCTCGACTCCTCCCCGACAAAATCTGCACAACCTGTGCTGTCGCGGAACCGCGTCCCTATAACGAGCAGGGTAACGGAGGCGCTCGCTGCTGAGGTTATGATCCCCGAGTAACAGGCCGGTCATGGCCTTGAGGTGCGCGGGCACGGCAACCATCACGAGATAATGGCGTAGCGCTAGCCGTCGGGTGACGAGGAATAAGGATTTCTCGTCACCCAGCTCCAGTCGGTTTCTCAGCAGGAGATCAAGTCTTGACGAGGCGGTCGATGTCGTGTTGTAGGTCAGCATCAACGATGCTGACGATCCTCTTTGCAAGAGCTTCGATTGTCTTTGCGCATAGAAAATCGTCTGGCGCAACCTCAATGGCCGTCGGGAGCCGCCTGAGCATGATAATCCAATCAGAAGCCAAACCGGCTATCCCTTCGCGTAATAGGCCAAGGAATCGAGGAACGCCGAGTGCACAACACGCTGGGCGTCGACTTCCACCATGTACTTTAATCGGCCAAGCGCCAGCAGCAGTCGCAGTAATGATAATACCATCAACCTCTGAGCATTTATGGGAAGGTCCAGTAGTGGATGGTCCACGCCCGCTGTAAGTAGCGAAATAAATGCAAACGCGGGAACCGCTCGTTCGACTCGAGCCCGGGCCGTGATTTTCTTCTATGGAATTTTCTTTTTCTATTCCGCGCCGTGTGATCCATCAAGTTACATTCTTCGTTGTATTTCATAGAATCCTCCATTGCAACGTTGCTCAAGATCAAACGGACCAGAAGACCCCAGCAGACCCCAGTCATGGAAACGCAGAACACACCCAATCGAAAAAAAGTCTAGACCCTGGAGGCTGGGACTAGAGATTGCAGAGTCCGTATTGTTGCAGGCGGGTGGCAGGCCTTTACAATTATCTAACTCTGCATATTACTCACCTACATAACCACCACGAAATCGACAGTCAATAACCTCTCTTCCGTGTCCCCTTCGATATATTTTACAGTGTGCGAATTTCGTGCGCCTCGTAACCGAATTTCTGGTCTCCCATAAAAGAGGGACGTAGCTATGGTAGATACAGGCCCAGTAGCGGAGGGTCCGCACCTGCTCAAGGTTAGCTTGGTCCGCAGCTGTAATATGCAGTAGTCGCTTGTTCGATTCGAGCCTGGGCCATTCTAGGACGATGAAGAGTTTTTTTGCTGAATTCGCAGAGAGATGAGTCTCAATTTACATTTGACAGGTCTGCGTTTCTCTACCTCCCAAAATCCGCACCGCCCGCACCATATTGTAGGCAAAATCCCACTCCGATATCTGCGCTCAACCACACCAGCTACGTTCCAAACGTTCTGCTGGGTTCTTATTACAGCTCTTTGCAGAACTTAGGGCGCGACTCGAAATTTTTCCTTTTTGGGTACTTTTTTGATGGTTTGGACCAGGACAGCCGCCCTTGTCTCAATTCTTGTCCGTTCCCTTGGCTGATATGCTCAATCGCTTCGCATACCAAATACGCAGTTAACCGCGTCTTTAGAATTTTTATATTACACTTAGGGATGCTTTGTGAGCACCGAAAGGAGTTATTTCTGATCATTTTTGATTATCTTTGAGCAGGACAGCTGTTCTGATCTCAGTTGTCTGCCTTTTTCTTCGGGAATAGGCTCAATCTATTCGCATTCAAAATGCGCAGTTAACCGCCTTCTCATATTTTCAACCTGACCTCCAATACGACTTCCTGTTGGATGAAATACCCAGTAGGT